GCTTTTTGCGCCTCAAAATATACATTGTATTCGCCTAGTTCAACCGCCCACTTCACAATCCTCCCAGAGGCCGAGGGACGGCTTAATGTCCTTAAGCGGTAATTGGTCCGCACCATGGCCCTATGTTGCCAGGAAATAGGTTCGCAACTCCGGGCTGTAGAGATAAGCGCCAACGCGACCTTCTCCACGTCTGAATATCGACGCTCAGCACCCTGCAATATCCGACTTGCATATTATATTAGCTTATGTTGTCCCTGCTCCTCCTTTATCAACACCGAGCTAATGGCCTCGTATCACACCGATAGATATATGACTGACATATCGCCTGGCACCGCTTTTGTAAGTAAATGGAGCTCAGTTAGAAATTCGTTCAACCTCTCAAACGCATGTTGTGCCTGCAGCGTCTACTCAAAGCTAGATCTCTTCTTTAATGCTCGAAAGAATGGAAAACTCTTTTCTGCTGATTGAGCCATGAACCTGCTCAACCCTGCTAGGCGTCCAGTTAGGATTAGCACTTCCTTCAAGTTCCTCGGCACCTGCATCTCGATGACTGCCCGCATATTTTCTGGGTTGACTTCTATGCCCCTCTCCGTCACCAGGTTACCCGAGAATTTTCCTAACCTTACCCAAAACTTACATTTTGCCGGGTTGAGCTTCATGCCGAACTGCCGCAATGTATCGAAGGTCTCGTGCAAGTCTGCTATATGGTCCTCCGCCTTTCTACCTTTCACTAGCATGCCATCAACATAAGCCTCCATGTTCCGACCTATCTGTCCCTTGAACATTTTATCCACCAACCGTTGGTAGGTGTCTCCTGCATTTTTTAATCGAAAGGGCATGACGACATAGCAATAGGTGCCTCTAGATGTCACAAAACTAACACTCTTTTGGTCCTCCTCGGCCAGGGGGTTATGGTGGTACCCCTGGGAGACATCCATCATACTCAACAACTCACAACCAGCTATGGAATCGACGAGATGGTCGATGCGTGGTAAGATGTAGTGGTCTTTAGGGCAAGCTCTATTGAGGTCTCTAAAATCTATACACATTCGCCATTTTTCTTCACCCTTGCGCACCGTGACTGAATTTGACAACCACTTCGGGAATTGTCTTGGTAGTATATGCTCGACTTTCAGCACGTTCTCTACTTCGGCCTCAATCATCGCGTCTAGCTCAATACCAAAATGCTTTCTCTTCTGCTTAACTGGCTTCATAGCTGGGTTAGTGTTGAGTCAATGCTCCACCACCTCCGGGCTAATTCCTGTGAGGTCGTCCATTGAAAAAGCGAACACGTCCCAAATTCCCCTAGTAACGGTATCAGCATGTCCGGTACGTATGCTACCAGATGTCGACCTACCTTGGTCGTTTTTGCAGGACTCCCCTCTATCAATTTGACTTCCCTTAGCTCATCCTGGGAGCTCATCCCAGCTCTTGTTTCTTTTCCTGGTGGGAGCACTCAGGCAGGTCGTCCCTCCTTTTGTTTTGCGCCTTGGTTGTTTTTGACGTTACCTCATAACACCGTCGAGATTGCAGCTGATCTTCATTCCAGCTCTCCTGTCACCTCTCCGACCTCATTCCCCATGGGGAACATGATCTTCATGCAATAAGTCGACAAAACAGTTTGGAATGAACTCAAGCTAGGCTGCCCCAGTATAATGTTGCACGCAGAATTAGCATCCACAACCAAGAAACATACCATTTCCACTTCCTCATAGGTGACCTCCCTAACGCCACAGTTAGACTGACTTCGCCAATCGGGCGGACCTCGCTGCCACCGTACAAAGTGGTATGGACTAGATCGATCTTCATGTCTAACTCCATTTGTTGTAAACGCTTCAAGAAAATAATATCCGCCGAGCTCCTTGTGTTTATAAGCATATTTTGCACATCATAGCTAGCCACTTCTGCGGTGATGACCAAAGCATCATTATGTGGGACAACAAGTCCCTGCACATCTTGAGCTCCGACCCTCAAAGTGGTCGAACTTGTCTATACTTGCACCTCGACCACCTCATCAGCAACTCCTTTCCCTCGGTAAGTCCTTTTTCTTTCTCTATGTGAATCTCCATCCGTACCTCCTGCGATCATATAGGTTACCCCCTTCTTTACCTGCCCATCGGGTGCTCATCAGTCATTTTTCGCTTGTCGCCTAACTCACGCCCCTCGTGGCGCTCCTTATCTCTGATCACAAACTCTTTCAAGTGTCCAGCCCGATGAGCCGCTCAATCTCATCTTTCAGTTCTTTGCAGAAATTGGTGGAGTGGCCATAGTCACGGTGGTACCGACAGTACCGTTCCTTTCCTGCCAAAAATTTTCGCGGTGAGGGGAGAGGCTTAGGTTACGCGAGCAACTTGGTCTCTCCTTGCATTTCCATCATCTCCAAGATCTCTTACCGTGGTCCATTAAGCGACTTATAATGCTCATATCTCGGACCCCTAAACCAATCCTCCCATTTGGACTCTTTTTGGGTAGCTCGTCGATCACTTTGACGGGGTTTCTTTTCCGCCTGATTCGATTTCATCTTGTCATTCTGGATGAAATCAGCTTCTGCTTCTTCCATATTCACATACTTGCTACACCTTTTAAGAAGCTCGTCGAACGACCTCGTCGACCTCTTTGCCAACGAATCCCTGCATTTTCTAGGACTAAATCCCCGCATGAGACCCCCCGCTTTCACCTCTTTTGAGGCAGAGGGAACCTCCACACAATCCTTAGTGTATTATGCCACATACTGCCTTGAAGTTACTCGGCATATCCCCTCCTAGGACCTCCTCCACAAAGGATGTCCTCGTGTAACTGTGGGCCTCCGGCTTTGAACTCGAGCTTGCGATTCGCGCATTTGAGCTGCCAGCCTTTCCAAAGTAAACCCGTCCGCCTGTGTCGGAGCGGCCGGGCAGGAGATTACTGACATCACGTCGTCATCCTCGCCCCTCTCTTAATGCTGGTGTTGCTGCTGAGGTAAGGACGTCTGCTGCGGCGGAGGCTGCCGAAATGATTCATTAGGGGCTCTCCTATCCATCTCTTGAGCTCGGCCTATCATCTCGGCAATAATCCAATCCAACTCCGACCTCGTCATCTGAATGACTTGATCCCCTTGGTGCTGGAGGGGGGTGATATTCCAGGAGGTTCTGCCCTTCGACCACTACCATCTGTCTGACATCCTGATGCCTCGCATGTTGGACGCCTCCACCCGAGCCCATGCTGACCTGCTTATCGACCACTCCGTCGGCGTGAGTGCCGAGCTCCTTATCCTTGTTCCTTTGGCCGCCAGACCCCAGGTTGATCGTCGTCTGGCCTAGTAGCTGCCCTTGAGAAGTCGGCAACGGCGTTAGTGCCGTGCCGGGTCGGGTGCCAGAAAGGTCTCCTTCGGGGTGATAGCCAGCCGTGACCATCCCGGCGACGGCCCCTGTCCCAAGTGCTCTCTGGGTCCACGCCTCACCCATTTTCTTCGTCAAGTTCTTCTTCGAGTTATCTCCCCCCATGTTTTTCTATCTTCTCCCTCGTTTGCTTTTTTTTTTTTTTTGGCAACAATGTTTGCTATTTTGTTTTAGTGAGAAAAAATCAGTCTCTTAATATATCGGTAGAAGACTGAGTGTTCTCCACATACGATGCCAATTTGTTGCGCAAATTATATATCGATCGGGCTGAACCGCGCTGGTTTGTACCGCCTTGATGCCTCCGACGAACTGCAAAACGCCGGGAGGGGTCCAGGCATAAAATACTCCGACGCTCAAGTCAGCCCGGCGTGTAGCAGAAATAAGTCGAGAGAGTAAATTTACACATGTATGTTTGTTGTGTAAAATAATGAATTTGTACCCTTTTATAGTTTTATAGTTGAGGTTACGCCTGGGTTGAAGACTTTTTGTTGGACAAAAAGTCTTGTTGGTGTCCCCTCGTCAGAAACCTTTGGTCGAGGTGCCTAGGTGATCACATCCGCCGAACTCACCAATCTCTAGTATTCCGCCGGAGTGCTTACACCAAGCTAGTCCCCGCCTGGCTCCTATCCACTTCAAAGGCACTGAGGAGGACGCTCACGCCGAGCTCCTCCACCCCACAAGCGACGGTGCCTAACTGCAAGTGCAACTAAGCTCGGCCTATGACCGGTTCTCCATAAACTGCTACTTATGGCCGTATCATCATTCAAGTATTTTGACCTCGGCCTATTTCAATTTAGCTATTCCAATTCCTTTAATTCTATCAAGGCATGCTTTTTCATCACCAGAAGAGACTTCTTTCTGAATCCAGCTGGCAAATATTAGTCCAACTGTTAACTAAAGGAAATTGTTGAATATCATGGATAAAATGAACTCATCAACATCATTTGCTCCCTCGACATTGATGCAAGATGTATCTTGTGTTTTCTGAGTTCATTCCTGGATGAGTTCTTCATCAGATTGAATAACAATATCTGCTATCTTCATAGAAAGATCTAGATTGTGTTACATTCTAAATTTATTAGAAGAAATAAGAATCCCATCATTTTCTCTTTGCTGCATTTCGGGTTCCTCAAAGTATTATCCTCCACGCATTTTGTTTCCTTTAAGCATTGTCTTCCTGTTTTAGTTCTTTTGGCAACTTCTGCTTGAGAGAATAGTGATGTTGAATCGTTTGCTTGTGAAATATCAGTATTTGTCCCTACTTTTTCTTTTCTTTTCTCTCTAGTGTACCAACTGATTGCGGTTTCGAATCCTACCCACTGGCTATGTCATAAGTCACTTGGGCTGGAATAAGACTTCCAAAATATTGTTGCCATTTTGTTGATCTGAAACTAAAGTGCATAGCACAAATCTTGGCTGCAACTGAGGTATGTCATTGACTTTGGTGCAAAAGCTCGTATTATTATTGTGCTGATTATTGAATAGATTCCGAGTCACTTTATGCTTGTCGAGTTAATACATCCCTAAAATTTCTTTACAGAATTAGTAGAAAACAATTGCATAACAGCATATTGGTACAATTGAGTTATTCTGTAGTGTTTACTTCTTTTACGCATTTGTTTTATGACGATATTTATTCCAATATTGGCAGAAAAGAATGTCAAGGCACCAAATGTTAATGTAAAGGCCGAGAACAAAAGTGAGTTGCCTGGACAGAAACCACATCATCATAGAGAAACTCATGGAACTAGTGATGACATTGACGAGAACACACCAATCAGTCAAGTAAAAGGGCCGAACGTGTTTGAAAGAGCAAAAGAAGAGATCGAAGCCATTATCCATGCAGTTCACCCCAAGAAAGATTCAGATATACATGTGTCCTCAGGCAAAACGAAAAGTGGATTTCCAGTAATCATCGGTAAAGGGTTGGAGAAAGTGTGCTCTCCTCGAGGTCATAACAAGGATTGACTGTTAATGGAGCTGTTGTTTCATTTCTGAAACTATTATCTTGCAAATGTCTGTATTTAATTTTAGAAGCTGACTCTGTATAGAATTTGTACGTCACTTCCAAAGTATCTTTTTAGACCTATTTCCAAAGGAAGATCAAGATAATTTGACAACGTGACCATACAAATTCCATTTAAAACAAGATGTTTTCAATTTTGGGATATTGCATGGGTATTTCTAGAGAAGCAACTAAAGGCTTACCTAGATTCACACTTTAACCAAAAAAAGGTAATGTTAAAAAATGCATCTTAGCTTTTAACCGAAGTTTTTAAAACCGAAACGTTCATCGAACCGGTGAAGCTACTGGTTCAATGGTTCACTGGTCGGACCAGTAGTCGAACCAGTTTAATTAATATATAATTTTTTTTATATTTTATATGTATAATATATAATTGCATATATTTTTATCATTAGTTTTATAGTATATAATGACATTTCACTATATACAAAGTAATTGTATTCATTTTTTATCATTAGTATTATATGTATAATATATAATTGTATATATTTTTATCATTATCAAATTAAATATTAAAGTGTTAAACTTATTTTA